TATATATATATATTGTAGTTTTATGTCAACTTGATACAAAGTAAAGTCATTGGAGAAAAGGGAACTTCAATTGAGAAAATGACTCCATAAGAAAAGGGGGTAGGCAAGCCTGGAGACCATTTTTTTTATTTGTGATTGATGGGGAGGGCCCAGCATATTGTGGGTGGTGCTATCCCTATGGGATTGTAGTCCTGAGTTCCACAAGAAAGCAGGCTGGGTAAGCCGGTAAAGCATCTTCCATGGGTTACAGAGATCATATCCTGCACAACTGTTAGAGCTGGTTGAGTGATTTCTTTTATTTTCTTCCTGTCCAAACATGATGCTTAAAATCCACTCATTAGACCGTTGAGGGAGGATGGATGCAAGGTAGATGGGATCAAGAGAAAGCTAAAAACTATAAACATGGTTTTTCGTAATGGCAAGATGACTCAGTCAATAAACAATAACATGTTAGGAAATGATTACACTTCTCTTGAGCCATTCACATTTGCCATAAGTCTCTTTGGCCAACCTTCACAGGAAATATGTAACTTAGCAAGGTTGACATGACATAAAACCACCTCATGCTCCAAATTTCTATGACAAAGAGAAATTTCACCTAATGTTATTTTTTTAAGTCACTGACTCAAAACTTTAAAATTAGAGATCAAATCTCTCCTGTAACAAGTGATATACCTAAGGCTGTATTGTCATTGAATCATTAAATTATTTTCACTTTGTGGATTTTTGAGCTTCCCTGTGACATATGTGAGGTCTGTAAGACAATTACCACATGAATGAGGTTATGATGACACCATTCCAAGTCAGTGACATTGGGCACACCGAATGCAGATGCCATCCTTGTCTTTCTTGTATGTAAAAGGTGTAAAAATACTAATAGGTAGTTTGAATACATAAAAATTACTAGATAATTTCATTTTAAAGGATAAGAATGATGGTTGAGTGTTTTTCTCTTTGATTGTATTATCTTTGGGTTCTTTTTTCGGTCATGTTTCTTTTCATTCAAATAACATTTAGGAAATCATCCTTGGAGGTGCAGAATGTTCACTCCCCTTTGTCACTAAACATGTATGGAAAACAGGATGTTAATGTCCATTACATAGTTTATTTTCAATAATTTTTATTATGTTTCTAGTAAATAATAGGGTGGTTTCATCGCATATTCTCCCAGCCCATCCTCCACAACCCCTTTCCTGGTTTCTCTGTTTATGCTGGTCTTGTTCCAGCTGAACCTCATCTGTTCAGAATAATTTCAACCTTTACTTATGAAAGGCTTTGGTAAGGCTTGTTTGCTTTTCTATATGAGAAAATGACTATTGATGGCCTGAAAAGTCTAGAAGTGATTGGTTTATGAAGTACCTATTTCAGACATCAGATCTAGGCCATCATAGGACAGTCAGCCAGACATCTTTCAGTATATTTAAATGACAGAGTTCAACATAAAAGAATGACAGAGCATAATTAAATAAATTTTAATCAAAGAGGACACAGTTTTGAAACTAGAATCTTTTCTGTGTGATTAGGTGCAAATTGTTGTCTAAATATAAATGAACAGACAAGAGTCTATGTCCCTTCTCCATGCTGACTACTTTGGAAGTCATATTAACCCTTTCCAGAAGCTATATATTTACTATATTTATTCAATAACCCTAGTCTTAATTCATGAAGCATCTGTGTGTGTGTGTGTGTGTGTGTGTGTGTGTGTGTGTGTGTGTGGGTGTGTTTAGTTCATGAAGCATACACCTGTTGTGAACACGGGATTGTTGCAATGCCTTTTAAGGAAGTTGGACCGTTTCAAAACATGAAATACCAATTATTAGATGAAATGATAAAAAGGAAGATCACACAGAAAGATGTTTTTAGGACCTGTAGCATGGAAGACTGAGAGGAAAAATTATCATAATTTTGAATCCATAGTGCAAATATATAGTTTCAGAGCTGACCAAGTTTCAGTTATGAAGGTCAAGGGAAGTTTAGACTAGAGTATAAAAATACAATGCCATCTAGTTGGGGAGTTTGAAAGATAAGGCAGGAGTGAGATTGGGTCAATTCAGAGACTGTATTGATGTGTTTATCAATGAGGACTTTGGGCTGAAACAAGAACACATGACCTGATGAGACACAAACTTTGATAGCGTTGAAAAAGATGTGTAGTGAGTCCAAATTCACTCTTTTACTTAGATTTTGTCTTTTAAGGTATGAAGTCTTGCATACTGTTCATGAATGCAGTAGCTAGTCTTCATTGAGAGCTTGACTGGATTTAGCAACGGCCTCTAGCTCTATCTGTGAGGATGTTTAGAGATGTTTAACTTGGAGATGTTAAGAAGAGCAACCCTGAATGTGTGCAGAGCAGTCCATGGGCTATGGTCCAAGAGATACTAAAACAGAGAAAGGGAGTTGGTCAGCAGTCTGCAGCTCTCTCTGCTTTTTGGCATCTGGTACAAGAAGCCAGCTGCCTCACATGCCCACCACCCAACACTCTTCTCTCCCCCCCCCCCCCCCCCCTTAAACTTTGAACTAAAATAAACTCTCCTTATGATGTCTGTATCATGGCAGAGAAACAAGGCAAATATGTAACATGACAGAAGTATTATCATGTGGTCCATCAATATCAGATACATATATACATACACACATTCATACATACATACATCTCCATATGTTGAAGATGCATTGCACCCCTATCTTCATTGTAACATTTGTTTATAATAACCAAGATACGGAATCAACATAACAGTCTATCAGTGTATAAACTGATGAAATATCTGTATATCTATATCTATATCTATACCTATATTTATATCTATATCTCACTTAAAACAACTATACAGTATTACATATGAGTAGGGACAAACACAGGTTTGGCATTATTAAACTTTTAAAAACAGGGAATATTTGCCATTTGTGGCAATATGAATGAATCAGCATGACACAATAAGTTAAACATGTCTGGCACAGAAAGACAGATGATGTAAGATTTCCCACATGGAATTAATAATGCCAGAATCACAGAAGCAGAGACTGGTGGTGGTTACAGGAGTAGCAGAGTGCTGGGGAGGTGTTGGATAAAGTATACAAATTTCAGTTTGGATGAATAAACTCTGAGAATGGAATGCCTGGTTATAGTTGATAATAAATTCCTTGGCATTAGCTAATGTTCTTACCCTAAAATGATACATTTGTGAAGTGTTGAATATTTCAGTGAATGCTCTATTTACTAATTACCCCACATATACACCACACATGAAATACTGTTACCATCATAAAATACATTTGCTTTACTTGTCAACTTGAGTAGGGCAAAAAGGATTTGTTCCCTTAGGCAATATAGTGCTGAGTAGAGCATCAGAGGGTCTGCGGAGGCTGTTTATAGTCATGTGTTCCTCTGTGTGGAGGTGATAGGAGGTTATTTGTATTCTTTTAGACATTCTGAGACATCAGCATTTCAGAAACACTACTAAGCCAAGTGTGGAGTTGTGTCTCTTTGAAACCAACACTCAGGAGGCAGAAGCAGGAGGATCTCTGTGAGTTCAAGGCCAGCTTCATCTGCATAGTGAGTTCCAGGCTATCCCAGGGTACATTGTGAGATCCTTGTCTTGAGAAAAAAACAGAGGCATGAGAAATTGGACTTATTTACACTACCATGAATTATTACCTATCTAAAAATTTTACCTTGTAATTCAGTATATGACAAAATGCTTAGTTTTCAGACACTGTTGTTTAAATAGAAAGAATCTTTACTTCTCAGAACGAGTTTCTTCACATCAATCCTTTTACCCTTCACTGGTTTCTGCAGAAGCAAATTAAAATAGATTAATCACTAGCACTTTCAGTCCTAAGAAAATTTTAATTTTCAGCTAAGAAAGGTCTAAGGTGACTTCTCTGCTATAAGAGGGAACCTAGTTGGGGAGGGTATGACTTAATATTACTAGATATTATCTTTTCAAATAGACAACTTAATAGTTTGTAAGCAGTCACTGGTTTGTAAACTTCAGAGACTGTTTCTCTCCACAGACTCTCTTCACAAAAGTGTAGTTGGAAAAGAAAGAGGAGACAATTCATATTCATCAGCAAATCCTTCGATTCTAATAACCATGTATTACTTTTCCAAAAAAGTGATGAAGAGTAAGATGGCAATATAACAGTAACACAATTTAGAGAGCCTGGCATCTTATGTGTGAGAACAGGACGGAGTGGTTTTAAAGGTGTATGCTTAGGTTCCAACAGATATATCCCTTTTATTCTGTAAATCCATATTAATATTAATAAAGAGCACCAGGCAAACATAATGAGGTATTGGGAATAAGACCAGATTGTAACACTGAATTTAGCAGCTGGTCACAGCACTTCAAAGAACAACACCATGAATGGTTCTTACATGTAGGCTTTGTCTCCAGGAGTGTAAGTACTCCTTAAAAAATGGAAAAACTGCATGCTTTTTTCCCCCCAGGAGATCTCTGGGAAACTCTGGCTTGCCATCTTGTATCTGGCACAGAAAGTGTTCTCTAATTCTATGTTGACTAGGGATGCTACTAGTAGTCACATTCTGCCTGAGAAATAGCCTCATGTCATTCATTTCCTCCTCACACAATGTACTTGGCTTACGACTATTACTCACATTTCATTGAAACCATAAGCTCAGGACCATTAATAATAAATTTTAATTAACCTTTTCTAAAGGACAAGGGTGAGGTTCTCCTGACAGCTGGATTGATTTCCATACTTGAATATCTTTCCATTGATCAACCTCTTCAGAGAGCCTTTCAAGTGTTTTGTTTCTACCCCTTTCTTCAGCACTTAACCTCTAACATTTTGTTGTCCTGGGATAAAAAATGTTGTGTAGCAGAGATGTGTAATGATTAGAAACTCATCAAATCCTGAAAAGATGATGACAAAGAACAATATTCAGGAGTGTGTTCTGTAGATACCTGTGCATGACAGATTTTGGGAGAAAGATATTTATTTATGCTTAAGGGAAAAGAGATTTTGAGAGGGTGGGGATTGAAATGAGAACTTTTCATCCATTGGATAATCTCCCTTCAAATATAAACTAAGTTTCTGGTCCATATATCTTGCCTCTTATCTTTTACTCTCTCACATGTTGAAAAGTTTAACCGTGATAGGCTGGAACAAAATCAGTACAAGCATCTATCTTGCTGCATTGTACCTGCTGGTCTATCTTTGGATAACGAGGTATCTGACTGTGAGTGATTTCTAAGCCTTTCCTAGGATAGAGTCAAATATAGAGTAAGTTGACTTTGGATGAGCTGGAACATCCTGTTTCAACTGGTGATCTGGTAAATTGCTTTTCTGCTTCAATTCAGAGAAGATTTTTCTGGAGCCGATAATGGAACTGCGAAGATGCCAACTTTTCTGTACGACCCTTTTCATATTTTCTCAGGAAAAGTGCAGGCTGACACTTAGTTATTATTAATGGACCAATTATAAGCCCACAGTGAAGACAATCTTTACATCTGTTTATGGACTATCCATTGGCTTTCCAGCAGCCCAGACAAATCAAGCAGTGTAAAATTTGCAAGTTTGTAAGACGAAGATCCAATCTATTTCTATTTCTGAGTAATAGTTTAGGAGTTGTATGGGACTTAGAGTAATTTTTTTCTCAAATGAAACCTTAATATAATTTGCTCATATTAAGAAGCAATGAAAAAAGTCTCTGTGAGAAGTGACAAACATCACAGCAGGAGTTCTACGGAAACACTATTATTTACAAACAAGGATCTCAAAATTATTTCCCAATTTAATATGAATAGTTCATCTCTTTCAGCAAGATCACAGGTTAAAGTTAATTTTCATGGCTTTCTAAGCATTTCATGTTTTTCCAAATAAAAAGTGTGTTTTTATGTATTACAGAATTTGAATCTAGAGAATCCCCATGTTTGCTCGGCTAATAAATTGGATTATGCATTAGAGGTGATGCAGCCTTTGGCTGTAGGAGAAAATCAATTTGGATGACAGGGTGGTCTTATTTTCCACAGAAAGTGTTTGTTTGCTGTTCAAAGAAATACCTGCCTCACTGGGCTGAAACAACTCTGAGTTTACATGGGGTAAAGAGTCTGCAGGGGAACACGGAGGCAAACATGTTCACCCCACTAAATAAGTGAGGAGAGCAACAGCGCAAGCCATGTGCCCAGGACTGCATGACTAAAGCATTTATATTTTTATCAACAATCAGCAGAACTGCTGCTTTTGTTTTTTGCTGTAGATAATGGTATTCATCTTAAGACATGATACATAAGTGTTAAGGAGGAAGAAGAAAATGTTAATCAGACATGATCTGAGAAGCCTAAGGTATCTTTACTTAAAATTTACCTAGTCAAGAATGGAAGGGAAAAGTTTTTTGAACTGGGGGACTAAATAGGATGCCATAGATCAGGCTGTAACTGAGTCTATCCAATATCAACAGTGAATGCCCCAAGTGGCAAAGATATTCATGTTTCCAAATCCTTTGTTGATCCTCTTTCAGTGTGTATCTTTAGAGGACTTTCATACAAACTAAAATATTGTTTTCAGAATGCTTTTCAGGTAAAGCACAATTAAGATAAGAAGACAATAGGCATACACATATCTAAGTACTCTCTTTGTCAAAATTGAAGTGATAAACAGTGTAATACTGTTTAGGTGCTAAGAGCTTGGGTTTCAAATACCAGTCTTTGATGTATTCCCAGAGGACTCCACAGATATTTCTCACTCATGGTAACTGCTACTCTATTCAAAATAACTAGGAAACAGAAATAATCTAAAAGGACTTCACCTGAATAATAGATAATAAAAATATAATAAAAATGGGATACTCAGCTGGGCATTGGTGGTGCATACATTTAATCCCAGTACTTGGGAGATGGAGGCAAGTGGCTGTTTTTGAGTTCAAGACCAGCCTGGTCTACAAAGCTACACAGAGAAACCCTGTCTCTGTGAAAAATAAACAAACAAAAACCAATGACAATAGCAACAAAAGCAAAACAAACACCCCCCAAAAAAATCCAAAATGGGATACACTTGAACTCTAAAGAAAAAATGAAATCATGAATTTTGCAGGTAAATGGGCAGAACTACAAAAGATCATACTGAGTGAGGTAACCTGCACCCAGAAAGACAAATGAGGCATGGTTTCTTTCATTGGAAGCTCTTAGATCCAAATCTAAAGAAACTATAAAAGTAAAAGGTGCTTTAAAGGTGTTTATCAGGGTTTTCTCCAAGAGACTGCCAAACACATGGGCAGTTTCTATTGCCTTTTGTTGACCTCAGAGGTAGAAGGTAACTCCATATTGCTGAAGACACCATGCACTTCAGAAAGACACTGGACTACAGAAAAAAACTGCTAAAGTGAATCAACCAGCGTACTTCAAAGATGTACTGATCTTGGTATGAAAACCCGGACATGTGTTACATTGAGGTAGGGGTTTTGCATTTGTTTCCACAGGAGAAGAAAAACTTTGGATACTATCAAAATTGATCAAAGTTCGAGTTGAAAAAGACAACTCTCTCAACAAGGACGTCTGACAGGTATTTACTGAGATATAGCTCATAAACTAAATAAAAGCCTCCCAAAGGAATGGGAAATGCTTTGTTTTTATCTTCACAGGAAAATTCACCTCCAGAAGTCAAAGGACACTGCATGGGTAGATACTTAAAGAAAAGAAGGTAGCTATAACCATCAAACAAAAGGAACATGCCATACGATAAACTTACAGCTGTCTCTCAAATAACTCTATTTCTCTTCATTTCCTAGTCCCTATTCAATTAAATCAATGCTGGATTTAGAGTTGGATTTGGCCTTCCTCCCCTAAAATCCAAGCATGTTTTTTAACTAAATTTTAGAGTTTCTGTATTATATCAAGAAGCCAATTGATGTAATACAAAATAAATAAAGAAGTTGAGGATTATCTTTTGTCTTTTCTTGGCTCTTTCTTTCAAGGCCTACACCCTCTCATAATTGTTGTTTTTCAATGGTTGCCTTTCCCATTATACATACAGGTGCAAGCACACATTTCTCTGCTGACACTTATGTTTGAGTCCCATACAGCCAATGAAGACCTACCTGACGACAATCCCTGGATGCTCCGGAAAAGGAATTGGGCCACACCTCTTCAACTGCACTGGATCCATCTTACTCCATTTGGACTGACACTCCGACCAGAGCCTCGAGTACTGACTTCAATCATGTTGAGGATATCAACCTAGATCTTCAATCAAGCAAATCCCATATAACATGGACTGGGGATAACCCAATAGAGACTTTCCCTGTGCTAACATTTTTTTTTCCACAGGACCCCATCGTCCTATTTTAGCAGGAAGTAACTTAGAAGATGCTATGCCCCCCACTCCCCATTATTATTTATTAGTGTAATGTAAGCCTAGTTAGGAATAGCTTTCTTATTGTTTAGAGTTGGGATTGGAAGGAGGTGTTCAAATTAGACACCCTTTCCACATGATTTTAGGGCTTAGCCAGAATAGACATAGTTAGGAATGTACAATAGCAGATTATTGTAACTTCTTATATTTCACCTTTATGATTGTTAATTTTGGATGTTTTTATACTATTAAGTTTTAATCCTCTTTTAGACTAAAAGGGGAATTGTAGGGAGACACTGTAGCCCCATCTCCTAGTAGCCCATACAGGTGTGCATGGCCACGCCCATGAGGGTGTGGTCAGGGGAGGAAAGATGACTCAGGGACAATTCTTAAGGGACCACGCCCACGTGGATAGCCCTTCTCTCTGGCCATGCTAGCTTGCAAGCTCTGGGCACACTCTGGCTTGCATTTGGGCTGGTGTTTATCTGAATAAAGAAATCTTAGCCTTACCTACTACAGATCATCTTTGAGCACATGGAATAATCAACAGTTTGGTGTTTTGGAGACTAGCTTCTTGAGTTCTTTGGATATTTTAGATATCAGCCCTCTGTCAGATGTGGGATTGGTGAATATCTTTTCCCAGTCTGTGGGCTGCCGTTTTGTCTTGCTGACTGTGTCTTTTGCCTTACAGAAGCTTCCCAGTTTCAGGAGGTCCCATTTATCAATTGTTGATCTCAGTATCTGTGCTACTGGTAAAATGTTCAGGATGCAGTCTCCTGTACCAATTAATTCAAGGGTATTTCTCACTTTGTCTTCTAATAGGTTCAGTGTGGCTGGATTTATGTTGAGATCTTTGATCCATTTGGACTTAAGTTTTGTGCATGGAGATAGACATGGATCTATCTGCAGTCCTCTCCATTCCAGCATCTAGTTATGCCAGCACCATTTGTTGAAGATGCTTCCTTTATTCCATCGTATAAATTTAGCTTCTTTGTGAAAAATCAAGTGTTCATAGGTGTGTGGGTTAATATCCGGGTTTTCAACTCTAGTCCATTGGTCTGCCTGTCTATTTTTGTGCCACTACCAAGCTGTTTTCTTGACTATGGCTCTATAACAGAGCTTGAAGTCAGGGATGGTGATGCCTCTGGAAGTTCCTTTATTGTACAGGGTTGTATTCGCTATCCTGGCTCTTTTGTTTCTCCATAAAGTTGAGAATTGTTCTTTCAAGTTTTGTGAAGAATTGTGTTGGGATTCTGATGGTGATGGCATTGAATCTGTAGATTGTTTTTGGCAAGATTGCCATTTTTACTATGTTGATCCTACCTATCTAAGAACATTTGATTGGAAAATCTTTTCCCAACCTTTAATTCTTAGGTACTGTCTGTCTTTGAATTTGAGGTGTGTTTCTTGTATGCACCAGAAGGATGAATTCTGTCTTCTTATCAATTCTGCTAACCTGTGTCTTTTTAAAGGCAAGTTAAGACCATTAATAATGATGGATATTAATGAATATTAATTGTTCATTCTTGTTTGGTTTGGATTTGCTGGTGGTGGTGAAATTATGTGTGGGTTTCCATCCCTTTTTTCTTTCAGCTGTTGGTAAAGTGGGATTATCTATTGCCTGTATTTTTCTGGTTATGGTTAACTTCCTTGGGTTACAGTTTTCCTTCCAGAACTTTCTGTAGGGCTGGATTGCTAGATATGTATTGTTTGAATCTGGTTTTGTCATGGATTATCTTGTTTTCTCCATCTATATTGATTGATAGATTTGCTGGGTATAGTAGTCTGGGCTGGCATCCGTGGTCTCTTAGTGTAGGTAGAATATCGATCCAGGACTTTCTGTCTTTCAGAGTTTCCATGGAAAAGTCAGGTGTAATTCTGATAGGTTTGCCTTTATATGTTACTTGACTTTTTTCCTTTGCTGGTCTTAATGTTTTCTCTTTACTCTGTATGTTTGGTGTTTTGATTATTATGTGGCAAGGAGACCTTTTTTGGTTCAGTCTATTTGGTGTTCTGTAGGCTTCTTGTATTTTCATTGTCATGTCTGTCTTTAGGTTGGGAAAGTTTTCTTCTATGGTTTTGTTCATTTTTTTTTTCTGGGCCTTTGAGTTGGATTTCTTCACCTTCTATACCTATTATTCTTAGCTTTGGCCTTTTCATGGTATCCCATATTTCCTGGATATTTTGTGTTAGAGATTTGTTTGACTTAAGATTTTCTTTGGTTGATGAGTCTATTTCTCCCAGTGTATCTTCAATTCCTGAGATTCTCTCTTCCATCTATTGTATTCTGTTGGTTATGCTCACATCTGTAGTTTCTTATCGTTTATCCATCTTTTCTATTTCCAGCATTCCTTCAGATTTTGCTTTCTTTATTTTCTCTATTTCAGTTTAGGTCTTGAAGTGTTTCCTTTAAAGATTTATTGATATCTTGTATTTTTTGGTTCATTTTTCTTCCATTTCTTTAAGGCATTTTCTCACATCCTCTTTGAGGCCCTCTATCTTTTTCATGAAGATGTTTTTAAGGTCATTCTCTTCTGCTTCATCTGCATTGTGATATTCTGGTCTTGCTGGTGTATGGTCTCTAGTCTCCGGTGGTGTCATATAGGTTTTTCTGTTGTTGAATGTGCTTTTATATTGTCTTCTTCCCATCATTTCTTCTGGTGGGTGTAACAGGAGTCTCTTCCTCTCCTGGTTATGGGAACAAGGTTCCCTTTTGGTAGTTGCAAACAGTTCCAATACTCTGATGTCTGTCCTCTTTTCCTGGATGGAGGCAGGAATGTTACTGGGGCTTTGGTAATCTCTGTGTGTGCTGGAGCCCACAGGCCGAGTTCAGGTCCTGTGAGCAGTCCCCCAGTGCCAAGTGTCCATGAGCAGGTCTGGGGAACCTGAACTGGAAGCAGCTTATGTTACCTGGGCCGGTGGATGGAGCCCGGACTATAACCTGGGCCTTGGGACTCTCTGGGTGTGCTGGAGGCCCCTGGATGAGTTCAGATCCCATGATCCCAGAAGCAATTTCTTGCTTGTACTTCTTTGTCTAGTGGTAGGACCCATGAAATATTTCCTTCAATGATATTAGCATTGTTCTGATCTTGGTTACCCAGCCATTTCTAGGAGAGAATGTTTCACAGCAGACCTCCTGTTTCTCTGTCTCTTACAATCCTTCTATACCTCTTTTGTGTTGTGTCCTGAGCCATAGATGTAAGAACTGTAATATCTGTGTAGCTGTTTTGGTCAGGCTGTCTACAATCTGTTGATGTTTTCATTGTGTCCAGCTGTGATTTTCTGTGATATCCACCAAATGATGGAAGGAAAGGCTTTCTTTGCTGTGGGGTTGTAGCTACATGTATCTGTGGATATAAAGATAAGTTTTAGGATGTAGTAAGAAATCAAGATGGTCTAGCAAAATGGCAGTAGTAGATTCTTTTCTAAAGTCTGTGACTTCACATGCCCCCAATAATCTGGCTTGTTTTTCAATACCAGGTCTGACTCCCCCTTTGTTGATTGGACCTGAAGTTAGAAAGCTGTGCTTTGCCATCAGCATCTGAGTGCCACTTACTGCATGTTCATGCATTTCTTGCCATGCTAGTAATTGTTGTGATTCATAGGTGCTGCATAATGTAAAATTTCTTTTTCTTGTAACTATCCTCTCTCCTAATACAAGGCATTCATAAAAGATTACTTGTATTCTCTCAATTTCCATACTGGAAATATCCTTAACATTCAAGTACTTGGGCTCCTTTCTGATTCTTCATTCAGTCTTTTCTATCTTAAAGAAATTTCTTTGTGAAGTAAACAGAAACCATTGCAAAGCACCACAACTTGTCAAAACACAAAGAACAACTGATCATGGTAGATTGGGCAATATCTACAATATAATTTCTGCATTTAAGGCTCAGGAAACATCAAGAAAGGGCCAGAGAGCAGAAGGTCTTCTCTGAGATAATGCCTCTAGACAAAACAGGGAAACCACACTCATACTACCTTAATAATATGGTTGCTTAAACAAGACATGAATATGACAATGCCAAGTGGCATGCTGAGGTGGAAGATAGAAAGATGATGGCAGCTGCACCCATTATCAAAGAATGATATGCACCTAAAATTCTGAGAGGCAGGATTATTACTATCAGGTAAGAGGCATCTACCTGGTCATCCAGTTCCAGATGGTCAGCTCTGAATTCATATACCTACAAGCAGCACCAAATGCACTCAAAAGGTTGTGTTTATGTATCTATTTATTTATACACATATGAAAGAATAAGTTTCTTAAAAGCCATGAATTTGAGAAAGCAAGTGAGAGAAGGTACATGGAAGGGATTGGAGGGAAGGAAGAAATGTTGCAATTATAATTGAAAAATAAGTATCAAAAATAAAAAATAATGTCTTTTTGGTTTTTTGTTTCATTCATCCATTACCAGGGATTTTCCTAAGAAAAATACAGGAGCTTACTTAAACTTAATAATCTTTGCCAGAGGAGAGCTGAGGAATTTATTTGGAATATCATATATATTTCTTTCTTCTTCTTTTTTTTTTCTTTTTGGTTTTTTGAGATAGGATTTCTCTGTGTAACTTTGGAGGCTATCCTGGCACTCAACTCTGGAGACCAGGCTGGCCTCAAACTCACAGAGATGCACCTGTCTCTGCCTCCTGAGTTCTGGAATTAAAGGTGTGTGCCACCAATGCCCAGCGGAATATCATATGTATTTCTTCTTACTGTTTCAAGCACAAATATTGACATTGGATCTTTGTATTCTATTTAAAAGTATGTTTGTTAGAAGTTACTCCCGGTTTGTTCCATTGTTAGT